TATTAGTTTCAGCCATAATATCATTAGATTAGTTGTAAGAATAAGATATAGAAGATTTTAAAAGATTTAGTACAAGATCAAAGGTTTACCATATGAGTGAACTACTTTAAAGACTTAGTAACTATAATATATTTGTATTAGTATCAACTAAGACATTTTGATAAGTATAAGTAGATGAATAGATATAGGAACTAGAGTGTTTAAATAAAAAACTTACAAGCAAGTTTTAAGTATAGCAGCTAGTATAGAACCTTTGAACAGACTACTTAAATTATATAATAACTAAAATTGTATAAGTGCCTAGTTGTATACTCTTTTTATAGTTGTTCTTTATAGTTGTAATGCAACCATTAGTTGAATATATTATCAATAAAATTCTAAATCACAAGTACTTATTTTAATATTTAAAAAAAAAAATGAAAAAGGCATTTAACTTAGTTTTTCTTGAAAGCCTTAAATTAGCATTGCAAAGAGTTAAAGTATTTAAGAGAACAATCAATATATATTGAATCTTTTTTATAAAAGATAATTAAAAATAATTACAGCCTATGGCCAAACAGAAAAAATAACAACAAAAGATGAAATAGACCAAGATAAAGTAATTTTATTATTAATATAGTGTTTCTTCTATGAACCATTACTAGAAAGAATTTAAAAAGATAAAAGTTTAGAGTATACAGTTAAGTAGCAAGGTCAAAGAGATATGCAATGCAATAATATTACAATATATTATCAAGCAACAATTGTATATGCAGATGATAGAAGAACTAAAACATAATATAGTTCACTTATCAAAAATATAATTAAATAATAGAATGAAAAAAATATAAGTAAAAAAGAAGACAAAAAAGATAATAAGTCAAATTATAAGAGATCTAAAGTACAAAAAAATAACAATAAGCCAAATTGCATATATAAACAATATAGTAATAATATTTAAACTAAGCTATATACTACAACTAATAAAAATATTTGATAGAAGTTTAAATAAAATATATCAACCAATAATAAGCCTGACAAAACAAAAGAGCAACTTACAAAAAATAGTAGAAAACTACATAATAGAACATAGATCTCAGCAGCTGTAGAATATTACAACAAAAATTAACTATAAAGCAAATAGGTAACCTTTTAGTAAGACTAAATAGATGAAATAGTCTTGAACAGTTGACAAAACTAAGAATAACACAAAGTTATTAAAAAGCAGATTTAGCAAAAAACATATAGAAAACAAAGAAAATATTAGAAATTAAAATATGTTTAAAAAACAATTTAGTATGTCTTACAATACTCAAATCAAGAAAATTAAAAATAAATATAAGAATAAAAAGTAAATTATGAACAATATTTGGGTATGATACTAAAATATAAGAGTTTGTAAATGTATATTTGTAAAAAAAAGCAGTTAAAATAAATAAAGCAGATCTAATATATCTAAATTAGCTGTTTAATATAAGAGAAAAAAAGCTAATTATATGATAATAACTAAAAAACTATTAAAACCAATTGAATAAGAAAAAAAAGCAGAGTAGTTCAAAGTAATCAAATCAAAGGTACTCAGTAGTTTAGAAAATAGAAAAGTATGAAGACAATTTAGAACAAGTGAACAGAATACTTAGGTAATGTAAGTAAAATAAAAACATATATCTAAAGACAAAAAAAAAAAAACTAGATAGTACATAATATACAGAATTAAAGACAACTAAGAAAGATAGTTAAAAAGAAAAAAAATATTAATCAAACACTAACAAATATAGAACAAAGAAAATGAATTAATAACTAAGATTAATAAATACAAAGAATATATAAGAAAAGAAAAACAGATAGAGAATAGTTGTCAACAATGAATAAGAGTAAACAGAAACATTAATATAATTTCAGATATATTAATAAAAAAAGACAACAATCAAATCAAGATAATAATAGACCAAATAATAGGCAAAACAAAAATAAACAGACCAAACATTAAAAAGCAAGAACTTGAAGATCTTATAACAATAGAAGAGTTAGAAATAGAGATTATTAAATAACAAAAACTGAAGAAAAAAATTTATCAAGTAATAATAGAAGTTCTAAGAAGAAATATTACAAGATATCAGAACAAATATACAATATATAGACAGAACAGTTAACATAAAAGCTAGTAAAGAATTAGAATTTAAAAATAATATAGATATAAGATAAGTTTAAATAAATGAAACATAAGATTGGTCAAAAGAAGAGATAACACTTGGACTAGAAGAATAGCAAACATTAATAATAGTGAACTTGATAATAATCTGAATAGCAATCTTAATAATATCAAAAGAGAAACAAATAGAGATATATACAGATAGTAATATTATAATAAAAAACATTAATAGAAGTTTAGAACAAGCAAACAAAAACAAGATTATTAAAAAGAATAATGCAATATAGATAATGAAGATTAAAGATCTTATCAAGACAAAAAACATTCAAATAAAGTTAGTTAAAGTAAAAAATTGTAACAAAGATAAATAGAATGATAAAACTAATAGCTTGCTCTATTCTATTGTTCTATTTATCTATTGCTGTTGACATTAATTAAACTATAAATTACAGTCTACCCTTGTTTATATCAACCCATTTGGATTGGTTTTAAATTATGTTAATAGTGATATTAACGAAAGATTATATTAAAGTTGATACACATGAGAAAATTTTAATGTATAAAAATTTATAAAAATTTGATTTGTGGCTTAGGTTGGCATTAACGAGGTTGATATTAATAGGGGTTGACTGTATAACAAATGACTTGAACTTTTAGAAATCGACATAATTAATAATTAATTAGAAAATTTTTTTTAATTTTATTATTTTAATATTCAAATTTTGAATAATTAACATAATATTAAAGATTATATTTGTTAACCTATTTAATTTTCTAACTTTGCACATATTCTGATTTAGTATATGTATTATATTCAAATTTGCTGCTTTAAGTGAATTTACTTACTATAACTAATTTTTAGTTAGGCTTTTTCTGGGTTAGATCCTTTTTTTGAGGTTTGTATAAGGGTCAGAAACTACCTAATTGTTTAACCCTTTAATCGTGTTAATCGTTTAATTCAGCCAGAAATGATACCGACATAATTCTGTCTGGAACTATGGAACAATTTTAAGTGATTAAAGGTTTCAATACTTGGGTTTGTAGACCATTCTAGCGTCACCAATCTAAAAAATTTCGCGTGTTAAGTTTGAAATTTGAGTTGACTGGATAGTGATAACACTAGGGTAGGTAGTTAGTTTGTATCACTTGTGCAAATAAGTAATTCCTAGTGTTGCAACACGTGATAATCGACCAATAAAATAGTGAAATTTTGATCATCCCGGATCAGCCCGACGAAGCGAAAAAAGTGAAAACCGCAAAAAATATAGGAAAGGCAAATTTTTTTTTTACTTACAAAAACCATTTATCCTAACCTTAATAAGGGTACGCTAACCCTAATTCGTAAAAAAATCGGCAATCATGTGTTGATGCGCAAATAGATGCATTCGTGTTGAAACAACGACACAAACCTAGTCTACCCGAGTTTTCCCGTTTCAATCAATACATGTGCAGAGAACTAAACCATTTATGCTCTAACTACGTAGGTCTGCTAGTTGATCAGTCAAATGACTGACAGAAATTTTGCAGGCGAACTATGTACGTACAAAGTTTATTGTTTATAAGAGCGAAATTGCAATTGTTAGGCTAATATGTTCGTCTTGTGCAACGCGTGAAACATTCTTTGCTACGTAAATGACGAATTGGTAGTAAGGTTACATAGTAGAGTATTGATGCAGAAACGGTCCTTCGGACTGGTGATCTCCGAGCAAATTATATAGTTCCGTATGCTATTGGTTATCGGGAAATTTTGGATTTTTTTTCCGCGATCACAATTCTAGGTTCCGGATTACCACAACTAACCTGCCTTATTAGTAACCTGTTTTAATGAAATTTTTTAATAACGATAGTAATCAATTTAACGGGATAATGTTGATTATTTATTAAGTTATATCAATACCGATGCTCTAACTATTATGGTAGCCTTTTAATTTAATTATAACCGTCAACAAACATATATCGGTATGTATTCAGAGTTAAAATCCAATAGATTTACAAGTCTAACCTTTATCAGAAGAAATAACTAGACAAATATAAGTTTATAAATCATGCCATAGATTTTCCTACGTAACGTTTCATCATGAATTAGTTGCGTGATTTAATAAATTAATTCTGACTACTAAATTTAACCAATTTTTTTCTGCTCAAATGTTTAAATTTTAATATACGACTACCAATCTGCGCCACTAACAAGATGATGTATATATCTCTAATACGTATAGCAGCATGCATGAAGAAAACGATTATCCATTTCTATTTAGCAGCACTGGATTTCATCTTTTCATTCGTCAATACTTTAGTTCTATGACACTTGAAACATTTATAGTCCCTTTAAGATATATGGCAATTATGCATAAAACTTATACGTATATTTTAACGAAACATCTAATGACGGGAAGTGAAACCAAGTCTAAAGGTTGTGTAACTGTTTAAAATACTCGTATAGAAATTATAAAAAGTTTGTCGGTCTGGGCGAAGCACCTATATTACTTTTGTCAAGCTTCAATGTAAGATACATACGTATTAACGAAAACGTCATACTTTAGGGCAGAGATAATTTGACATTATTTATTACAATAATTTACAATTTACAATAATTGTAAGGAATGAACAATTAATGTTCCATTTCTTCTTTACCAAATAGAGACTAATAAGTTACCAAAATTTAATTGTGTATCATCACAGATTTTCGGACCCAGTTATAAAATAGATAAAATAGTTAGGTGTTTTTTTTCTTGCTTTTTTGCCTCTTGCCTCTCTAAATTATTACACCCACTGGTTGGGAATTTTTTTCGATCCTTTCTTTTTTTTTTCCTTTAAAACTGCGGATATTTTTGCAGATTGTGTCACTTTGTGCTGGCACATAACTAAAATGACACGCATGTTATATAGTCTTTATGTTCTAGTATTACTTGTTGCTTTATGTTCTCAGTATTTACCAGTATCCATTGCTACCTCTAAATACCAACTTAAAAATTCAATATTAAGATCAAAAAAATTAGGTTTAAACGGTCTCAAGAAGTGTGAGCCTTTTTGGTGGAATAATCAAAAAAGTTATCAAAAATGGACCGAAAGAGAGGAATGGTGTACAAATGATTCAGAATATCATTCTTCGCGGAAATCCAAAATTTGGTCAAATTGGAAAAAATTTGCACAATGCCAATGCGAATCATTTCATTGGGATATAAGGAATCCCGCTGGAATTCTCGTCTGTTACCAAATTGCATGGTTTAATAAAATCACTGGAAGGTTTGTTGGAGAACTTACAGTTTTCAAATTAGACTCTATGAACAAGTATAAAGGGAAGTCTTCACATGTAGCATTTAAATTTTCTGAATGCAACGTTAAAGTTTCCAAAAAAAGGTCCCATTTAAAGCTTGATTCTTCTGGATTTTACTATGTTACTGTACCTACGTTTGCTTGGAAAAAAAATGGAATGAAAATTCAAAAATTTTATGTCCATGGCGAAATTTCAAAAAATGAATTGATGAATAAGAAGATATCGGCGAAGATGCTTAGCCCTTCAAGATTTAAGGTTATCATTGACTTAAAATTTGAGTTCGACCTTGAGAACAATTACGATGCCGCAAACTTGCCATTACCAAATTATCTGCCGAATAAACCATTTTCTCCTTTTGTGGGCGGCTGCTCATCTTACCCTGGTATGGACTACAAAAAGCATAAGTCTGGTACTCGCACCACAATTTTGCCGGACAATCCCACTAAACCTACCGATATCCCCAATAAAGATACCCCGATCGCAACATCCCAGCCCACTGATATCTCTAATACCCCAACGACAACCCAAACACCAACCTCAACGACAACCCAAACGACAACCCAAACACCAACCCAAACACCAACCCCAACCCCAACCAGTGTTTCCAATCCGTCTACCGATCCTAATCCTAAAGATGTTGCTGCCACAATTACATCAGATCCTTCACCTAAACCGACTACGAATATTACAAATATAGATTCACCCGACTCTTCACTTGACTCTTCACCGAAACCGGTAAATGCTGCTGACCAAATTGCCTCAACCAATACTCCACTACCAGGGTCAACTTTAGGTGTAGTTCCGATAGGTTTGTCGATATTCGGGGTGATAATTTTAATTGGTGCCGCGTTTATTTTGTATTCGAGATATCGAAATCGTAAATGGAAAAGACAATACCGTCGGAGACAAGCCTTGCGAAACGAAACTCTGGCTACTGCCCCTGGATTTAATGTTGGTGGTGATGGTAGTAATGCTTAAGTTTTATAGTAATGTAAAAAATTTATGCGTCAAATACAAAAATTTTTGTAATCAATATGGTTTAAATAAAATCATAATTTTTAAATTCATATTGATAGTAATTTTTGGCTTCATTTTAGAGTCAATGTATGTGTTTATTGTTTCAATAAATATTCGCATTCTGAGTTGAATAAATCTTTCGTTGTAGTTTAAATTATTTTATTTATGCAAAGATCTTATATACCAAACAAGTACTTAGGTGGTTATTTAATGTTTATTTGAAAATTGTAAAAACTTTAATCTAGATGAAATCTATACAAAATAACTATATATTTTATATATTGTATTTTTATAGTTTTATTAATATATAGTACATATTTAAAAATAATTAATAATTTGAAATTGCTTTAATAAAATACTACGTATAGAAATTGTTATTATTCTCAAAATTTTACTAATTAATTCTATTTTGATACAAAAATACATCATACGTATTAACATATTTTATTATATATTTTTTATTGTTTAAGAAAAAGATGCTTAATTTTGTATTTTAAGCATCTTTTTCTTAAAACTTAAAAAATATATAATAATACTATAAATATATATCTATGAGTTATTAAACCTGAACATGTTCATAAACAAAATTTGAACTAAACCTGAATTTGACTTAAAAGTTCAATATTGAATCTGAATTAATATATTTTTTAAAAAAATTTAAGTTTAAGAGTAAGGTGTAACATTTTAAATTTATATATAAACTTGATGGTATATTTTTTTTTGTAATTTCAATTACAAAAATTTTTATTAATTAAATATTTTTTGAGCTTATAAGTAAAGTTGTATAGTAGGTTCTTGTGATTCTAATAGTAGTAAAATTATTAAAATTGGTTTAAAACTTATTGAAATATGAATTTTTAAAAATTAGATATAAAAATTTATTATTAAAATTCTCTTATAGGTTTTTGAAAATTAGTCAATTAAAGTTAACTATTTTGTGTAATCAGAGAAAAACATAGAGCATTCAGGGAAAATTCAAGATATATACAAATATAATTTTTTTAAATTAAACTTCTTATAAAATTTTAAAATAATAAACAACTTATTTAAATCTATATCTTATTGGATTTTTGATAAAAATTAATAAAAAAATAAAAAAGTTTTATTAGTAATATATTTTAATTTACTATATAAAAATTTATTATATCATCTAGATTATATAAAAAATAATCTACATACACCTTATTCTTAAAGAGATATTAATATATAGTAATTGTAAAAAAATCTATAACAAAAAAAATTATTATTTAAAAATAATTATATTTTAATTTTATTAAAAATTAATAATATTCTTTATTATAAATTAATTTAAAATCAATATTAATTTTTTTTTAAAATTTAATTTTTATTAAAGAATAAAGTTATTTGTTATATATATAATAGTAGCTTATATATTGCTAATCATTTATTTGTTATATTTTAGTAATTCAACTCTCCTCTATAGATCTCCTGATCAAAATTTACAGGAAACAAAAACACAAGATAACATTAAAACACACAAGTAAAAAGTACTTAGAGCACTAAGGAAAAGATAAGAAAACACAGAAATATAGCTGACTAACTTGGAAACAAGAAATAAATCAGAGTAGTAACAAGCAATAGCAAGAAAACCAATCTTCGGCAAGTCCGAGTAAACAAAATTAACATATAGAAGTAAAACAGAGCAAATTAAATAGACTCACGCCAGGCTATTAAAGGAAAAGATTTAGCACAAAGAAGCACAAGCTTTTTATTAATACAATAACATAGATATAGTATCCTTCAGCAAGGTCTTTAATTAGTTTTAACTCAGCTTAAAAGTTTATAAAATTCAGTTTGCTTTTTGAAAAAAGTGAAAAATCACCCTAGACCCTGAAAACAAACAGACAGAACACATGGCCAGCTGACAGCAAAACAACAATAAACACAGTATACTACAGACATGACGATATTATCCTGATTAGGAAATAGTAGATAGAAGCCTTACATGTACTGCTAAACAAATAAATAAACAACAAACTAATATAGAAATGGAAGTACAGTGCAGATTAGGCCTTCCAGGTGACACAGAATTAATTCAACA